CAGGGAGAAAATGTGTGTTGGACTGGAAAACCTCTGGTTTTGGAATTAGTACAACCCCTTAAGTTGCTGAGGACCTTAGGCAAGCTACTTAATTTTCCATATCTATAGAATGGAGATAACCACACCTACGGCAAAGGGTTGTTCTGGGGATTTAAGACTGAATGTGTGCACAGAATCCAGCACAGAGGCTGTGAGAGACTGGTGCTCACAAAAAGTTGGCTTATTTCTCAGGGGCGTCTTGGAGAGGTTAAACAAGATCATAAATATAATAGAGCTCACATAGCAATAACTGTTTAACTCTTCCCACCGGGGTGTTGTTTCCACTGCAGTGAATAGTTGGCAGTTGTTTTCTTTATCTGGTCAGTACAGTCATCCAAACTAGATAATTCAATCAAGTCTCCACCGGGGGCCTTGTGTTTGATGACCTCATTGCTGTTGCGATCCCAGAGATGAAGAGGTACATCGGGGCCATTAGAGGACAATTTGCAATACCAACCGCATGTCTCTAAAATGTTTTGTCCATTGATTCAAAACTCTTACTCATAGGAGTTCACCCTTAGGAAATAGTCAGAATTTTAAATAAAGATTTATGATAAGATGTTTAGTCAACTGCAATGCATGATTGTAACAAAAATGGAAACAATCTAAATGTTGGACAAGAGAGGGATAGGTAAAATAAATAACAATCTTGCCCTGGCTGGGTGGCCCAGTTGGTTGCGGCGTCATCCTATACACCAAAAGGTTGCAGGTTTGATTTCCCGTCAGGGCACATAACTAGGTTGCAGATCCCAGTTGGGATGCGTACAGGAGGCAATCAATCGATGTTTCTGTCTTACATTGATGTTTCTCTCTCATTCTCTCTCTCTCTCTCTGCCCCTTCCTCTCTCTCTAAAATCAATAAATTTAGCCTTGGATAAGGATTAAAAAATAAAATTAAATTAAAAAATAAATAACAATCTTTCTTTTTGATGGGATACTACACAGCTGTTAAAGCTGAACTTCGGAGAACATTTAATGACATGGCAAAAATAATCACCTTAGAATATTAAATTTAAAAAGTAGGATAACAACTTGTATATACTGTACAATGAACACAATTTTGCAAAATGTGCAAGTACCAGATAAATCAATGAAGAAACTGGCTCTTGCCTAAATTACCAAATGCATAAGAAAAAAATAGTACAAAATACTAACTAAAGGTATTTGTTTATGTTGCCCTTTAAAACATCTTCCAATTCTGATCAATTAGACTCATATACTCATGTAGATAAAGTGTGTATTTGTGTTAGTTAGAAACAAAAATAAGAGAGAATGACTAGGAAAACACCTTAATCTAGTAAGAGTAGCACCCCTGGGTAGTAGGTTTAAGGTGATCTTTCCTCTCCTTTGTGCTTTTCAGTATTTTCTAATTTTTTTCCAATGAACATATTTTATAATCAGAGGGAAAAAATGTGTACACACACACACCGAGATAGACATATTTGTAGTGTTTTTAAATTTTATTTTTCAATTAGTTTACATTCAATATTATTTTGTATTAGACTTAGGTATACAGCATAGTAATTAGACAATCATACTTACAAAGCGTTCCCCCTGATATGCCCACTTGGCACCATACATAATTATTATTGGGTTGGCCAAAAAGTCTACTTAGTTTTTTCCATAATATAAAAGACATACTTTTCATTTTCATCAATAACTTTATTGATTTGGACATTTTCAGTATGTCGACTATCTCCTGCTATTGGCTTCTAACGGGTAGAGGCCAGGGGTGCTGCTAAACCTCTTCCAGTGCATAAGACAGCCCCACAGCAAATGATTCTTTGGCCAAAATGTCAATAGTACCAAGAAACTTCGCAAACTACTTTTCGCATGTTCAATCAGTCACAGCACCTTCTCCATACATTGCACAAATCTTTTTTTTGCGTTTCAGTTGAGTTTTTACCTTTCTTGAAGTAATAACGCATGAAACAAAAAATGTGTACTTTCTTTCATCTTCAATATTAAAATGCCTGCACAAAAATTCACCAATTCTGATTTTTTTAAAAGGCACCCTGATATGACAGCTGTCACTATATAATCTAACTAAATTGTTTCAAATGAAGTTAAAGACAACTAAACGCTACTAGAGCCATTGTATGGAAAAAACTAAACAAACCTTTTGGCCAACCCAATACAATATTATTGACTATATTCCCTATGCCGTACTTTTACATCACCATGACTGTTTTGTAACTACCAACTTGTACTTCTTAATCCCTTCATCTTTTTTACCCAGTCCCCTAACCGCACCCCTCTGGGTAGAACAGATGTATATTAAAACAGAAGGAAAATTATTCTCTTTGTCCACATCTTAAGTAGTTTTCTCAGCACAATCCTCTCTCGATATCCTTCACAACCTAAGCCCCTGTTTATATCATACTGGTAGAATGTCTGTAGCACACTGAGGAGGGAACACCCCTCTCTTCATGTCATTCACTAGGATTCCTTCCCGCCCACTCTGCACAGCCTTCAGTAACATAGTGATCATTAGACCTACTGTCCCTGCCTGCCCCCCAAACATAATAAATGTGATGATCACTTCCACACTAAATGCTTTTTTCTCAATGGAGGCTCAGGAGGCCCCCAATAAAGTAAGACGCAAGAGGGAAATCATGAACAACAGAGCAGAGAGTAGCAGAAAGCACCTTACCTTAGAGAGGGGAGGGGAGAATTAAGCAAGCAACTTGCTCCAAGCAAAGGGGGAGAGTTCAGAGATACAATGCTCTTTACAGGAGTAATAATAATAAACACAATTGTGCTAACGCAAAGAGATAAAAAAACAATAAGATGTGTTGTCTGAGGTGCCAACAGTGTACTCTCTCAAATTAAGCCGTGATCTGAATTCCGTCTAAACTGTATGGTAAAGGTAAGCATCCACGTGAATAGCCTGGGATGGAAGGAACTACAAGGCCATGGGTCTTTCCCCTGACTAAATAGTGTTGGTAAGGACTGCATTGGTCTTTGTTTTCTGCTGTGCTCTGACTCCTTGACTCCCCAGAGCCCAGGGTGAGACCTAAAAGCCAGAAGGGAGGGAATGGAGAGACCTGGGAGAAAGTCCTAGGAAGAGGACAATGTGAAGTGGTTACGACATGTTTGAGATGTTGGGTAATGAATAGTATATACAGGAATATTGAAGAATCCATATGAGAACTTCATGCATCGTGTCCTCATTGGAATCCCACATTGCCAGTGGGAGTGATTTCTTGGAGTCATCTCTGAAAACCAGACGGATGTGTCCCCTTCGTGGAGCTCTGAGGCAAGGGGGTGTTTTCAGTGCAATGGAAGGCGGAAGGCTGGCTGACCCAGTCCCTTGGGGAACAAAGAGTTCTGTACATTGTGCCTCAGAAAGAGGACAATAAGAAGGTAGAAGCTAACGTGGTAATTGAACAGGGAGAAAAATAGGTCTTGGAGAATGTTGCAAGAAGCATGTTGAAGATTAAAAGAGAAGGTAAAGTGGGTAGGGAAAGAAATTAGAGAAGAAGGGAGAGGAAAGAATAGAACTGCATAGTTCAAAGAGGGAGTTCAAAATCCTTTTCAAACTTGTTGAAAATGGATCATCCCCTTTATCCGTTTGCTACAGGAACAGGTCCAAAAATCCAGGCACCTGAGCTGAAAGTCAATCAAGTAAAGAAACTGGCTCCTGCCTGAGTTACCAAATACATGAGGGAAAATAATGGTATACTGAAGAAAATATATTTATGTTGCCCTTTTAAACATCTTTTGATTCAGATTTGATTAAAATCATATATTCAACATAAAGCATGTATTTTTACTGATGAGAGACTAAAGAAAGCAATATTGAGGCCCAGAAAGGTTAAGTGACTTTCTCAAAGTCACACAGTGGCTTCCTGACTCCCAGTGCAGCTGTTCTGCCACAGAAGAGAGGCAGACCGTCATTTACTCCACTGTTGGCACAAACTCCAGGTTCACCTCGAGCAGATACCTAAATCCTTCCGGGCCTTGATTTCCTCCGGGGTCGTATAAAGAGGTATGGACTGGATGTCCCTTCGCAATCTATGTTTCACACCTAAAGAATAAGAAGGGGACCCAACGTGCCATCAACTCAGCACACGTTTGACTTCTCAATACCTTGGAAAAGTGGTTTTTAAAATGTGGCCCTCGACCAGCAGCAGCAGCACCTGGGTGGTGACTAGAAATGAGAATTCCTGGGCCTCAGACCCTATTGAATTAGACACTCTGGGGGTGGAGCCCAGCAACCTGTGTTTTAATAACCCTACAGGGTGTTCTGATGCAGCTCAAGTTTGAGGAGCGCTATTCTGCATGTTTCCTGTCCAACGTTAAAGAGAGGGTTTCACACACACACATGCACAAAAGGAGGTAACCAACTTTTCTCTGGGGCCACTACCCCGTTTTCGCCCTCCCCCTCTCATCCTTTTCCTCGCTCCTCCATCCTGGGATGATGAATGGAGGTCAGGGCAGGGCGCTGTCAAAGAGGACGCGGCAACCCCCCGCCCCTCGCCCGACCCGAACGGTGGGTCTGGGGAGGTGGCCTTGGGGCTTCTCCAAGGCTGATTTCCTTATCATCCTCTCTACAGCCGCTACCCAACTTTTTTGGAAGGGGCGAGTTTAATGCCAAATTGGGTTTTACTGATTTTATTCAATGGTTTATTTGCAGATTGAAGGAGACTATTGAGAGGAGGGTGTCATAAAAAGGCTTGGGGAGAAGAGTCTGGGCGAGAGGAGCAAGGGGCGGAGGTGAAGCTAAAGAGAAAATGGGGGTTCAGGGGAAGCCCGTGGGTATGGGAGAAAGACGGAGGACATCCCATCATGGAAAAGAAAGAGAAGTTGGGGAAAAGTGCAAGACTAAGGCGCAAGAGAAAGAAAATAGGTGTCCCGAGAAAAACTGTGTTTGGGAGACGCTTTTTCCAGCTTCCTTTCCAAGACTTTTTCTTTGCTCTGTTTTGCTCCTCCCCCTCCTCCCCGCCTCCTCTGCCCCCTCTTCCTCCGCCTCGCGCGGTAATGGGAGGTTCCTAGGCAGGAGAAGCAAAAGAAGGAATTGTTTGCGAGTTCAGTCATCCAAAAAAGCTTCTTCCATATGGAGGGACCGGGTGCGCTGGGCGCGGCGTCCGCTGCCTCGTCCTCCTGCCGGCGCCGCCGCAGCGGCCCCAGCTTCCTGCCGCCGGGTCCCTGAGAGCGGCCCGCCGGTGTCAGCCGCCGCGCGCGCACACGCACACCCTCGCACAGACACACACGCTCACGCCCGCCGCAGCCGCACGCGCCCGCACGCGCCCTCTCTCCTGGCCGGCACCTTCTGGGTCCGGGGTCCTTTGTTGCTCCCGCTGCGGCCGTCTTCCGTTTCGGGTGTTCCTGGGTGTCACTGTGCGGGTTGTGCGTCGAGGCGGCGTGGGGCTGTGTGGCTCCCTCCGCGCCCACCACGCTGGCCCCCGGCTCTCCCTTCCCCGGAGCCGGCTGCACCAGAGGTGAGTCACGTTGCTGAAGTTGTTTTCTTTTCATAAAAAGTTGTGTTTATTTGTTGGTTTGGGGAGGAGAGGGGGCGGGAGGCGACCGCAGGCCGGCGACGCCAAGGAAACGCCAGCGGGTGGCTGATGGGGACGCGCGGGCGACAGGAGCCAGTCCGAGCGCTCGGCCCGCGGGTCTGGCGGGGGCGGCGGCCGAGGAGGGGCGCGCCGGCGCGGTGACCGAGGAATTGGGACGAGCAGGGCAGCGGAGTGCCTAGGGCGCCGCATCTTGTTCCCTGCGGGTGCGGTCTGGCCGGTGGCTCCCGGAAGCTCCAAGGGTGGAAAAAGCGCCGGGACAGCCTCCCAAACTTCCCCCGAAGGTTGACACCAGTGCTCTGACTCCCTGCGTCAGACCGTTGGGGAGAAGACCACAGCGCGATCGGCAAATAACACGGAAACACCCAACACCCGTTCGGTCTCTTTAGGGAGTAAGGGTTTATGGTATTGGCGTTTAAAACGGAAAACATTAAGGAGAGGGACCAAACGGACCGGGAACGAAATAGCCCCAGAAAAACATCCCTAGCTGGAGGGCTGGAAAGGACGAGGCTGAAGCAGGGTGCCCAGAAGTGTCCTTGGGATTGAGGCAGAGGTAAAAGGGAGTTTGTGCGCGCGCGCGCGCGTGTGTGTGTGTTCGCGCGCAGCGTGCTCCTGGGGTTGTGCTCCTGGAGTTTTTGTTAGTGTAACTGTGAGAAGGTGGGGCAGTGAACTACTGAACAAGTGGGAAGGGGCAAGGAACCCAGGAAGAATGTTCCACTGGGTTTTTGAAGGCCTTGCCAAGCTCTCGGTGTGCGCACGGTTAGTGTGCTCTTCCTGGTGATGGGAGAATTTTGAGGGGTGGCCGGCAGGCAGACCTGGAGGAGTTTAAGGAGCCCTGGGGATGTGTTTTATTTAGTTTTGTTTAGGGGTTGGGGGTGAGGACGGCAGTGGCAGGGTTACTTGAATGGTTGTTGTGTCCCTCCAGAGATGTGGCAGTAGAGCTAAGAATACCCAAACCGCACACCCGCAATCCTAAACAGGCACTTTCTGGGTGTGGTGGGGTGTTCTGCCCCTCCCCCATCCCTTCTCAGTCAGTTCAAATGGGTTCACATAAGTTTTTGACCCAGAGTTACCTCTTTGAGTGGACTAAGTGAAAAGTATATTTTGGTGTCAAGCCTTTGTGCCACCTTGAAATGCCCTGTACCCAGCTCACATTTGTCACCTAGTTCTTTGTTGCCCAGAACTTTGCAGACACTGGCCGTTGAACAGATGTCATTTTCAAAATTCTTGAATGCGTGTACATCTCTTGATTTTTTCCACAACTGGACCCTGAGCAGGCAGCCCAGCTCTGTGATTTTTTTTTTTTAATCCCTCTGTTTACAGCTAATAAATCAATCCCCATTTTCTCAAGGGCAGTGTGGACAATATTAAAACAGGTCTTGTTGGACTAAGGTGGGGGGTGGGGGAGAGGGAGCTCAGTTCATCTGGATGACCTGTTTTCTGAACTTTACTTAAAGTGACTCTGAGGCAAGAGCTTGGCCATTTTGAGGTGTGTAACAGGTTACCCAGGAACGTTTCTGAGGTCTTATAATTGGCACTTTTTAATGGTCTCGTAATTGAAACCCAGAAGGTTCCCATGGTAATCTCGAAGCACCTTGGGGTCAGTGGGACAGAGGCAGGGTAGGAACAGCAGTGGAGTTATGATTTTCCTGCCAGATGAGTTTTTGGAAAGAGGTAAAAGTAAAAGAAGAGTTGCCTCATTGTGCCACTTTGCTGACCCGACTGGTCCCCATTTATTACTCAGTTGGGCCCTTCAGGGGGCTAGAGGCTGTGCACACCTATGAAAACTGAGGACTGAGATCACAGGCACTGCCCCTTTTATCCCCTTTTAAGAGATCTCAGAGGAGTAACATCGTAAGAGACATTTTCTCAGGAGAAGTTGCCTAAACCACTTGGAGTTGACTTTACTTGGGAGAGGAGGTTGATAGAGGCCAGGATGGTTGGTTCCTTGACCACATCTGGGAGGGGACAGAGAGGACCCAACTTAGCTGTTGATTGGTTGGACAGCTTGTGATAAGAGGATGACTTATGTACCTCTCCATCCTACAAATGGGTCCAGGTATTTTCTTTACTTTGAAGTGCTCTTTTAAGTGTTTGGGCTCCCGGCTCTCTTTAGCAACTTATCTGTGGTTTCCATTCCCTACACAGAAGTAGATTCTATTCATGAAGTAATTTAGTTGTGTTCCCCAGGGAACCCCAGGGTTTAAGCAAGGAGAGCGAGAAGTGAGGCTGGTAATCACAGTATTTCCAAGGCCTCTGGGGGATCTGGGTTCAGATTTCAGTGAAGACACTGATATGATTAATGAATAGGAACTTTTCTCTCTCTTTCAAACAAGTGAGAGGAAACCAAAGAAGACCCAAGTGCAAAAGGTAGTTACTCTCCAGTACTTCTTGGCCTCTGAATAAGAAATTATTAACCTGGCACTAAAGTATATGTGCATTTGGAGTTGCAAACTCCAAACTTCTTTGTTGTCTGGAAAAATGAGAGAGAGGGGAAGAAAATGGAAATTGAAGAGGGAGAGGAAAAAGTGATTTGTTAGATTTTTTAAAACCTATTTACTTTAATATATGGAACTCCTTGTCATCGCCATACTTCAATACAGCAGACATTTATAGCACACTAGACGGAGGGCTGGGAGCGTCTTGTGCCAGGAGGATAACCTTTCTTAGACCAAGGGTGGTTCTCTGAACTACCTCCCCCTCCCAGTTTTAATTTATTGAACTAGCATCCTCTACTGGTAAACTGTTTTTTGAAAATTACCCACAATCCCACACTATAACACAACTTGTTTTTCTTCATCCATGTGCATACATACTTCTCACATAGTTATGATAAAATTATGGACTCTTTTGTAGTCAGACAGCCCTGAAGTGTCTCTTATGTTTTTGACCGAAGACACACAGAAAACAGATATGGCGGAAACAGCCCGAAGTCTAGGAGTGCTCCCACATGAAGCCTTCACATGTAACATTTTCATCATTTATGAGGCCGGATCAAATATTTGGGGCCAGGGGCCAGGGTGTTTGTTTTTAATCTAGAAATCCATGTTTGCTAATAGCTTTCTTAAATTTGGCTTTTGCCTCCCTGGAGCCCTCAAGGCTGGTAATGGGCAGAGAACGGGAGAAGGAATGCAGGAAGCAAGGCTTAAGGATCCACCTCAAGTGGCACTGCCCTGAGGATGAGGAGAGTTAGGTTGGGCCCTGGCTCTGCATGTGGACTTCACTCAACGCTGGTTGAAACCACTGAGCTAATGGATTCCTACATCTCCACTGCCACTAGGTTAGACTTCCTCCCCAAGCTTATCCAGTCTTTCCTGTCCTTCCTTTTATTTTTCCACCATCCGCATCATCTTTCTTGTCTTGCTACCCACTGTCTACCTATCACACTCCCCCCCATGCTTCATCAGTCCTACAAACAAGTCACTACCCAGCTTTAAAACAGTCTAAGTTTACATTTCAAATTTCTTAGCTCTCTTATATGTGGCTCCATCCCACTTCATGCTAATACTACCTCCCTAGGGAGCATTCTGCTCCAGCTTGACCCATCTAGTAGCTGACAGTTGACTTTTGCTGGGTGTATTTCTCGCTTGCTGCCATACCACCCAAAAGCCCTTCTTGTAAGCCCACCTTACTTTCTATGAAGCCAGCTGATAATGGGTTCTAGAGAAATCGTTGGTGAATGTTGATGGAAATGGGCTGCCGGATACACAGGTAATGGTTTTGTAACGTAATCATTGTCCGTCATCCATTTTTTTAAACTTTCACCTGAGGACATGCTTATTGATTTAAGTGAGAAGGACTGATTGGTTGCCCCTCACATGCATCCTCCCTGGGGACCGAACTGGCTACCCAGAATGTGTCCTGACCAGAAATCGAACCCGTGACCCTTCGGTTTATGGGACAATGCTCCGACCAACTGAGCCACACCAGCCAGGGCATCCTTCATCCATTTTCCACTTCATTTCTAGCAAGGAGCCAGGTAACTGGAGATTTAAGGAAGCCTCTGATTGGAGAAAAACTGCTTTTTCTGTTTCCTTTTTATAAAATGGATTAATAAGGAATTATTATGGTTTGTAGCAATGCATCTTATAAAAAGCAAATACTTCAAAAGTGTTTGTTTATTTGGTTGTTCAAAAGATGAGACACTTCTTTTTTTTCCTCAGTCCCAGCACAAGCTTCCTGGAACCCATGACCCATGAAGTCTTGTCAACACTCACACCGTCCGAAGGAGCAGCAATGAAGTAGAAGCAGCAGGTGAGGTTTTTGCCCGCAGTACAATATCTCTGGCCTGCTGGGTTTGTCGCTTTTCATGTTTTGTGTTGCCACTTGAAGAAAGAATGTTTCTCATCATTTTGTATTGGAAGGGTCCAGCTAGAGTGGAATGTGGACTAAACACAGTGGCTCTAGTTTGACTCACATGTATCTTAGTCAGAGCCTGTGGTGGCCTCTTTGCCTTGGGGTGGCCATGTGAACCCCCCTTTCCGTGAGGCGTATGGTTGGACATACTGCATACAAACCATTTACTACGGGATTTGTAGTGTAAGGCTGCTATGGAAAAGCTGTGCTCAGGTTTGGGCAAGGAAAGCCCTGTGTTTATGTCTCTGTCAGTGGTATTACAGCGAATGCCTTGTGATCTGATGTCCCGGGCAGTGTTTATCTCACAAAACCCAGAGGGATTCTGTGTCGTTCTATCTTCTGAAGTAAAGTTAGGAAATAATTTCTCTTTTCCTAATGGTGAATTTGGCCTTATCTTCAAAGAAGGCCTTTGATGTTTGGCACAGGATTATTGGGCAGTAAGAGGAAATCATAGGAGAAAGATCAGAGCCAGTAATACACAGGCAACTTAGCTTGGTTGCCAGAGAAAATGTTGAGGAAAGTCTCAACTAGTCCTCCTGGTTAGTAGCAAGAAAATACATAATATGGCCAGGGCAAGTAGGATTGAGTAAAAAATAACGCAGAAAGAGCTCAGCAGCAGAAAGTATGGCAAAGAAATGTTTATTCTCCTCTAAGATGAATTTGGACAGCATTGGACAAGGTGAGGATGATGATGTGTGTACAGATTGCAGCCTTCATATTTCCACAAGCTTTTATTGAGTACTTGCTGTGTACCAGAGCCCATTCCTGTGTATCAGAATCCCATTCCTGAAGGGAAGGGAAATGCAGAGCAATACAACACAAACTCCAGTGTTGAAGTACCTGGACTGGGTCAATTAAGAAGGGCTTCTTGATGGAGGAGAGTCAGCCTCTCAGACCAAGTCTTACAGACAGAGATGGAACTAGCAGTACTGAAATGTTTTTTTACTTTTGTGCATCATTATTTTTCCCTGGAAATGTACCTTCCCTCAGCAGCCGATAGGCTGAAGTATTCCTGAGACAGGAGGTAAGTTCAGAGTAGTGTTTTGTTGTTTTGTTTTTTTAGTTTTAGGAAAGTTGAAAACTAGAATCTCTACATTGAATACAGAATCTCAGAAATGTGACAACAGACAGGTTTCTAAAACCAGTTACTGAGTAGTTTTCATGGCAAAAAGAAGAAATGTGTCATTTTTTTTTTCTCATCTATGTCAGGTTTTAGCTGAGGATTCCAGAAACACATGCCTGAATTCGGCTTTTTACCTTTCATTTCCATTTGCCCTTTGCTCTACTGTCTGGGATAGGTTGGCCTGGCTCTAAAATCATTCCCAGAGTAGCAAGTGGGGGGACATTTATTTTAGGGACAAATACAAGTCACAGAGCTCGGCAATTGCCCAGGACCCTCCTTGGCTGCTGAGAGATCACTATCACAGAGGTAAGAGGAGGAGGGCATGTGGAACCGGCTGGCCATGGAGGCCCCCCCAAGGCTGGGCTGGAACTGGATTCTTGTGGAGAGCCCTCCCCCACCTTCCCTGGCTCAGCCAGTGTTTTTCCAGATTAGTCCCAGCCAAGTGCCTTTACTAGTCTGAACTTACCTAACATTATAATCCCAGCAGGTTTATTAGGTATGGGTCACAGTTAATTGGAGAGGAAAATTGGGGGGTTCTGGCTTTATTACTTTTCTGTGAAAGCAGATCATTTCACAGATCATCCCCCCCCCCCCCCCCCCCGCCCCCTGGACTCTCTCTGCTGTCTAACGACGGTCATCCCGCAGTGGTGTTTCTGTAGTCCTTTTTATGTACCTGTGCCCACGTGAAGTTCATAATGCAATCAGTCAGCATAGTGCCCTCTTTTGCAAGTGAGCCCACATGAAGTGATGGAAATTCATGGCTGTTTAGCTCTGTCATTATGAATGGATGTTTTGTAGTGAACACGTTCTATAAAAATCTGCTGTGTTACAGCCACGCGTTCGATTTTAATGGCTCTTCCAACGTGCAGGCCTTGGAACCAGTCACCTGCAGCCCTCCCTTGACACCGTTGGTGGTCTGCCATCGTGACGGCTGCGTCAGCTCCAGGTGAAAGCCCCACAGTCAGGTGCTTTGGTTCTGTAGCCTTCTGTTGCAGGCATGGAGGCTGGGTAGTTAGGCCTGGCCTTCGCCTGTCTGGACTGTGGCAGCTTGCCAGCAAGTTTCACTGGGTGGTCTTTGACAATGGAGAAGAGAGGAGGGGTGGGGGAGCTCAGCTCTCCTGCCCGAGGGGAACAACAAGGTTGGCAACCAGTTCCTGTCACTGAAGCACCACCGAGGTCTCGAGTTGGAGTGAAAAGAATGGAACAGGTTGCTGTAGGCGGTACTGTGATCAGGTTAATTTCTGTTTCTCCAAATTTACAAAGGAAGCCTCGCGTTTATGCGGCAAACCTCTCACCCAAGAGGTGAGCACACGCGAGCAGCAGGTCCCCTTCCTCATGCGAGGGGAGAATTATTACCCTGTCACTCAAGGAGTTATCCATGGACCTGGAGGGCTGGCCGAGACTGTGGAGTCCCAGTAACAACGAGGCAGCACAGCCTGCCTCTGCCGTCTCCCAGTGAGGTGGAGAATGACAGCTGCCATGTACTGAGCACCTACTGTGTGCCCAGCCCTGTGCTTAGCACTGCAAGCATTGCCTCTGTAGGCCCTTAGCAGTCCCGTGAAGATGGGCATTATAGTCCTATTCTGCAGATGAGGGAGCTGGAGCTTAGATAACTGTAGTGACTTATTCTGGTCACACAGCTGCGGAGGGGCCAAGCCAGGATTCTTGTACAGGGCTGCTGACTCTTAAAAACTCAGGCTTTGAAGGAAAAACAAGGGCCCAGACAGTCTCTCCCCTAAAGCAAAGTCCCCTTAGTTTGGGGGAGCTTGCTCTTTTGCAACAAAGTGTAAGGGGCAGGTGGGGCCCTTCACGTGACTGGCTGTAAAGAGTGAACGGAAGCCTGGGGCCACAGCTGGAAGGTTCTGACGAGCTCAGCGGCAGTGGCACGAGGAGGCCACACTTTGTGGCCCAGCTGGTGTCAGACTTTGCAGGCAGGGTTAAAAGCCGTCTCCACATTGGGTCTCATCTCAGAACATGCCTCCTGACTTTTTGTTTTTACCCCTGGGACATCGTCTGAACTGGCTGTCTGAATCTCTGCCTCATTGGAGATGCCAGCTGAATCCCACTGCTGCTTGAGCGTCTGCAAGTCTGGTCAAGCACGTCCTCTGTGCTCCGGGTGGCGTGAGGAGGAGAAGGCATTTGGCTGAGCAGATACTTTTACTGGTCAGGAGAAGTGGCAGCTTGTACAGAAAAATACCCCGAGGAAGGAGGTAGCAGCTTTGACAGACAGGTAACTGACAGGAGAGGGTACCTTCCAGGCACACACTCACAGGGCAGCCAACAGGAAGAACTGTACAGGCAGCTGCCTGCAGCAGAGCGAAACAGACCTCTCCCTCCTGGCTAAGGAGCGTGGCGGAGATTTGGCTATGGAGGACGCGCAGTCACCCACAGTTCCTTGTTTTTCTTTAACAAACATGGAAAGCCTGAAGCTAGGATGTTCTGGGTTAAGGCAAGAACACAGGGCACCAGGGTTTAAGATATAATTACGTGACCAATCAGTTGGGTAACTGAGAAGAAGTCGTGGAAACTCTCTGTGCCTTTATTTCTCTGTCCCCACAAGCTGCCTCCTCAGAGCACTAGTAGGAGGCGGAGAGATGGCACAGGGAACGCTTTTGATTCACAGAGTGAATCCAACACTGCAAACATGCGAGGCCTCTGGCACCTGTGCCCACCCAAGGTGAGTTAGGAGGTAGGGAATTCTAGAGAACGGGTCGGAGTCTGGGCACAAGGGCTGCACCCGCTCCTGTGGGGTGTTTCTCTGTTCTAAGGGAGAGGCTGGGCTGGAGGCGGTTCAGTCCTACTGCCAGAGGCCCTTCCGGGTCACTCCAGCTAACTTGCCTTTCCTTCTCTGGCGGGAGGAGGCAACGAAGGGTCTCAGGGTCCTGTAAAAGTTGGGAGAGGAAAAGACCTTCTGGTGGGAGGGTCCCGGTTAACATTCTTCCTGAGAGAGGAAGGACCAGTGGGGTCTGGGGACTGTCTGAGGGACCCCGCCGGAGAGGACTGAAGTCTGAAACGACTCTTATTAGGAAAAGGGTGAAGGGCTGGAGAAAGATGGTTCCAGGAGGGAGCGGTATTTTGGGGGCCACTTACAGGTTGGAGATTGTGTGGCATCCTGGTTAAGGGGGACTTCAGAACCAGACAGGCATGGATTTGAACCCTGGCCTTGCCCATACTAAGTGAATGTCCCTGGGTGAGTTACCTCAACCAAACTGAGACCCCAGTTTCTCAAGGTTGTTGCAAAGAAAAAGCAAGATACTATACATGTGATGTCAATGAAAGGTATTCTGAGCATTCAGTAGGATGTGTCTTATCAACACAAGAAAGAAAAGAGGGACAGAATGCAAGGAGGATTATTGAAAATTGGGCAGCTGGAGGGATGAGCAGGTGGAAGGCTGCACTGATGGAACCCTCTCTGGTCCAAGGTCTGCAGAGATAAAGGGATGAGAAGGTTGGGAGAGGGAGGAGCCCACTATGGGGCAAGGCCCAGCCCCGGGTGCCCTGTGAGGTAGCAGTGCTCAGACCTGGTCTCTGGAAAAGACTTCCCATCCAGCCTTTTCCTCTGCTTCTGCCCTAATCAGCATCTTTCGTTCTACCAATTACACTACAAACTTGCGCGCCATCTTTGGCTCTATACTTTCGCCCATATTCCACTTTAAATTGGCAAGTGACATTGGCTTTACCTCTAAAACGTATCCAGAATCCTACAATTTCTCACCACCCAAGTGTTCCATTGACATTTCCTACCCGGACTATTGCAGGAGCTTCCTAGTTGTCC